CCGGTAAGACGGAGACAGAAGAGCTGAAACTGTCTGTATTATCCTTGTTGGTGAGCCACAGATCGCGTTCTTTGTGGTTGCCTCTAAAAGAACCTCAAGTTCTCATTGCTCTACATGAAAGCTGCTTGAGAGGTCTCGAGTCATCAGCTGTGTAAGGAGGCAATGGTACCACAGCTGAATCATTCCCCTCCTTGTGATGAGATGCTGTCTTGGAATCTTGAAGGAACTGTCTGTTTAATGAGTGACCTTAAGTGGCTGAGGAGGTGGAGGAATCACCTTTTTAGCTCTCAGTGAAGGCCAGTATGAGCCCCTGAAGGCCGTTTGTCCAGACCATAGCCTTTTCCCCAGCAGGGACAGAAAAGAGCAATTCAAAGTACAGATGCTACCTTGGCAGATACGTCTTTCTGTTTTCAGGTGGAAAATGAATTTGCAGCTAGTATTCTTGCCCTGAGAGGGGGGACAGGGAGAACGACATAGATGTGACACATGTGCATGTACACACACACACACGCACTGAGCAAGCGACTGCTGCAGGGGAGGAGGAGCTGTAGAAACCAAAAAGAAGGGAAAACAATGGCAAGGGAGGAAGAGGTGCTGGTATAGGTGTGAGATGGGGCAACGTCAACTGCTGTTGCTGTGTGAGGGGAGAGAAGAATGTGATGCTGGAGAACGGATAGACAACCCCCAAAATACAGTTGAAAAGAATGCACCATCCTTCCCTCCCACACACTCCCTCCTGTGGCCACCCGACTCGGACGACAGCCACGTGCCTCCCCCAAGTGCTCAGGAGCTGCCCAGGGCCCTGGCTGGTATAGGGTGCCGGACTGAGGAGAGACGGAGGTTGAACCCAGCGTGGGCATCTCTGGCTAGAGCCAGAAAAACAGCTGCTAAGCAAGGAGTCCCCACTGGACATGCAAAACCCATGGGGATTTTGATTTTTTTTTCTTTTGGGGAGAGGGAAACCCTAGCTGTACTTGCATAAAAGGCCTGGAACAGGCAAGTGTGCCCTGAGATGAGATGCATGCCTGGCATCTCGCTGCCTGGTCCTGGGCATCTTCTCTCCTGACACTATCTCACCAATAGCCACTGCCTTCCTACCACTGCAAAAATGACAAAGGAGCACAGCGTGGTGGGAAACAGGGTTACGCATCAGGCTGAGAAATGAGGTGGAAAAAGACAGCTAGAAAAATATTTCCAAGCATGCTGTGGGGTCAGTGTTTCCAAGAGTGACTTGTCATTTGAGCTCTTTGGGGCTGCCATGGGGACATGGACAGAGAACACAGCATTGGGGTGCGTAGCAGTGCAGCTGAAAACGCAAACCGCACAAGCTCACTTAGCAAATCTGAAATCAAGAGGAAGTAACAAATAGTGCACCAAACCTCAAAAAACCCACCCAATTTTGCTTTAGAACTTGAAGGTATACTTTTTCACAAATGTGGATGTTTTTTACCTGCTGTAGTTGATATTTAAAAGCTACTTTTCACCATTTTTCTAACCAAGAAATTAGATCATTGTGATGATTAGAACCACAAAGACATTCAAGACTTAGGATGACTTGTTTTTAATGAGATACATGACATCAAAGCTGAGACCTCTGTATTTAACTCATGAGGTCTGATCACACTGCTACTGCCTACTTTCTAGACTTGTCACCCCCCTTCATCTCCTGAGGGCACTGTGGAAGAGGACTTCCATTGTGGGCACCTTGGCAAGTAAGGTCTACAGGCTGCCCGTGGTTTTAGTATCACAGGATCCCAAAGATCCATTTGAATAAATACTGACATTTGCCTTGCACCTTTAGGTTCACTAGGCAACTGAAGAGGCATAGTGGGTTCCCCAGTGCCCTGTGGTCAGATCCGCCAGCAAATGTGCAGCAGCTGGCGGGGACCAGTGCCCAGTGCACCTGGACCATCCAGCTCTCCAGATGTTTCCGTCTTGCTTACCTCTCTGCCGGTGAAGAGCACGCGGGCTTGCTGGCTAGCGATTACTGGCACTGCAGAGATCTCGATCCAGGCACCAAAAGTGCAAGCAGCTTGAATCAAAACAGAGCCAGCTGGACTCTTTGGCTACTTGCTCATTCAAATCACAGCCGTCTCCTACTGCGCCATGGCTAGTTCTACGTCTGTCATGCTGCTGTTCCTCTCCCCTCCTTTCTCACTTCCTGATGTGCTTCTGGTTGGCCACAAACCATGAACTTTGCTATCCAAAGCTGATAAGCTAAAACACATCCTATGAAAGCAAACGTAATCGTGAAAGAAGCAACACCCAGGTGTCGTTGCCGCTGAGGAGACCTGCCCAGGGTCATAGGGCCAAATACTTGCTTGTCTTTGCTCCCATGCTAACTCAGCCACCCCCAGGACTGATAGGGGAAAGTTAAAGCATCCCTCTCCCCAAAATATTGCCAAACGAGCTAGAAGTGAAATATGGGAAGTGAGAGCAAAGTCAATTTAATCACTAGCCAGCACAAAGGCTCAGAGTCCTGTCAGTCCCATGGGCTTGGGTGCTTTGGGGACGAGCTCCTGCCGGGGACCCCAGCTGTGCACTGCTGACATGTGTCAGGGACCCAAAAAGAACTGAGCTCTGAAGACGTGTCAGTGCCTGTGGCAGGTAAAGGCATGTTTGCCACAGACAGGTCCCTGCTCTTCAAGGCTACAGGAGGCAGCGTGCTGAGAAAGTGTGAGGGCTGCTTCAGCAGGCCATCTGTGACGTACCACCGCCAAGTGTAGCTGGGAAGGGATCTGCCCTTCTGCAGACCCTGTCTGGTGCTCTGTTGCTTCAAGTCCTACTTTTGCCGTGCCAGTCCCAGCACACCTGAGAGAAGACATGGGTCATAGGGACACTCCTGATCCTACTGTTGTCCTTCCCCAGCAGCAGCTGCCCCAAAAAGAAGGTGCCATGCTTGGGGGCTCCCCCTTTCTCTGCAGCCCCTGCCCAGCTCCTCTGCCTGCTGGCTGTTGCTGCTGGTGTTTGACTTTCTCACTCCCTGCCTCCCTTGTTCTGCTGTCACTGCCTCCTCATTCAGGGAGTGACACGCCAAGGGATATATGTTCCAGCTGCTCATAAATCCTTGGACGGTACAATAGCACCCGAACCACTGATCTCACCCTGCTCCTTTTTTAGTGGCTCTCTTTTTTAACCAGACCCCCTTTCTCACTTCCTAGTTGCTGGGATCTTTGTTCTCACAGCTTTTTTTGTGTCTCTTCAGTTCCTGTCAGAGCTCTGGTACCGGTAAAGGCTTGCAGATGTACCCGTGTGTGTGTGTGTGTGTTCCTTCTCCCTTGGCAAAAGGAGTCTCTGACACCCTCTGGGGGAACTTTCCCCTCCCTTGCAGCCCTCGCCCCTCCACACACACACATGTGCGCACACCTGGATGAGCCTGGCAGTCCTGGCTTTACCCTGTGCGTTGGAAGAGGAGGACACGGTGGCACTCAGCCTAGCCCGCGAGCCCGCCCTGCCCCGCAGCATCCCTCACCCAGCCGGCTTCACTCACCTCACCAGCTCTTGCCGCATCAGCCCGCAAATGCCGTCTACCCTTGCCCAAGTGGGCTCGCACCTTTGCCCCTCGCTGCCCCGTGGTGGGCTCAGCTCATGGGGATGAGCAGTGCAACCCCTGGCGTTTCCTCACCGCCGCCTGAGTCCGCAGCAGGTAAGACCAGATCACTGGGGTGTGTGTCGGAGGCTACACCCTGATGCTGCAGATCCCAACACGCCTGCCACCCTGGAGTGCCGGCTCCAGAAAGCAGGAGCAGGGACCCAAAAGAACGAGGGGCTCAGGGAGCTGGGAGGGCAAGGAGAGGAGCTGCTCAGGTTTGAGAGGACCACTGATAAGCTCTAGTACTCCTCCAACCTCTTTGTGCAGCGAAATGTGGAAGAGCACAGCAAAGGGGTGAATCCACATGTGGGGCCATGGTGGAAGAGCCAAAGCAGGGCCAGAGCAGCGATGTTTCACTTTCTGAATGATTCAGACAGGAAAAGCAGAAATCTCTGGGCCGCGTGAGGAGCTTCACCTTCCAGGGCGGTGAGGAGGTTCCAGGCCTGCGGGGCGGAACAAGCAGGCTTTTCTCCCAGGATGTTTCAGCTCCCTACTCACACAACTCACATTTTCCTGCACTCCCAGGGCTCTTAGGAAAGGGCTAACCACTGAGAAGAGGGGCAGCCACCCCATTACGCCTGCTTGAGGAGAAAGGCAAAGACTGTCCTTCTTGCCATGGGAAAGAAAACGAGGGGAGTGAAGGGAGACGT